AAAACATCTACAAAATGCATTCAGTGCTAGTTCCGCACGTTGTTGCATTTCTGCAACATACATCCGCGAGGCGAGCCGTTCAGTGCTGCCATCTGTACTCAGGCGGCGAAACTGCTCTCTAAAAAGCGTGACAGCCACCACGTGGACGCTCAACAAGTGACACAGGTAAGCCTTGACTACTGCATATCACGTTCTATACAGTGTAATGCAAAACAAAAAAATTTGCGACTCAACTTAATGTCCTGCTGATTATGTAAATACTAAAAACCTTAAGATTATTGACGAAGTTTGTCTTTGGAAGCAAAAAATAGCTATGTTGCACAGATGCAACAACGTGCACGACGGTGTTTTTTCTTCGTAGAGCAGACACAATGGACCCCAAACGGTTTTACAGCCGTGGAATTCCTTCCGACAGTGAGGACAGCGAGCTCTCCGGCAGTGACGATGACTCTGATTGTAAGTTAATGTTTTTTTCTGGAAATCCAACTTTTTTTCACGTAGAGAATAAAATTAGAAGCAGTGTAGGCTTTATTGACAGAGATTTTCGGAAGAGACCATCCTTCGTCAGGTGTAACTACACACAATTGCAAAGTTGTAGGGTTGTTTTCACGCTTTCAAAGAGCACACTTAGAACCGCCAGGGAAGATAGTCCCCTATACAATGTAGAATTTCTCTCCAAATTATTTATTTTACTGCTCATTGTATGAGTTGTACGAGACGCTGTTATTTTTTGTACCCCAGATGTCCAACCCCCTGCAAAATGTAGTGCCAGTTCAAGCGAGGCGAGTACAAGCTCTGACGAAGAGGAAGCTCCCGCAAGCCAACCAGCTGATCAGTCATCAACTCAATCTAAGAGAAGAATTATCTGGAAGAATGCAAGCCTGATGCGGGATCCTGAAACAGTGAAGTTCACTGGACAAAATGAGCTTCCGCAGGAAGTTTCAGAGTTGGAAACACCTTTCCAATACTTCAAGTTCATCTTTCCAGGCGCTCTTATTTCGCTTATTGCAAATGAGAGCAATTTGTACTCAGTCCAGAAGGATGCCAGTAAGCCCCTCTGCACCAGTGCCGAGGAGATTGAAGTTTTTCTAGGCACCTGCATGTGGATGTCTATAATTCAGCTGAAGAACACTAGGTGGTACTGGAGTGAAGCTACCAGAGTAAGCCAAGTAGCTGACCACCTCACGGTGACACGCTTCGAACAGTTGAAGCACAACCTTCACTTTGTGGACAACAGCTCTCTCGGCCCAAGAGATGATCCTGATAGAGACCGGCTTGCAAAGATACGACCGCTCGTCGATGCTGTAAATGAACAGTTGTCGCTGATACCGCTTGAAGAGCACTTGTCTGTGGATGAACAGATTATACCTTTCAAAGGCGCAAGTGCACTGAAACAGTACTGTCCCCAGAAACCAAAAAAATGGGGGTACAAAGTATTTGTTCTCTCAGGAGTATGTGGCTTCTCGTACAAGCTAGAACTGTACACGGGACAAGAAAACTCAGCCCCAAGACGTGCAGGAGAGCCTGACTGTGGAGCAAGCGGGAACATTGTTGTTCGATTGTGCAGGTTAATCCCAAGAGGAGTCCACCACAAAGTGTATTTCGATAACTACTTCAACTGTCCAACCCTTCAGGTGTACCTGGAAAAAGAAACCGTGCACTGCATTGGTACAGTTTGGATCAACCGAGTAACGGGTATCAGCATGCCATCTGACAAGGAAATGAAACAGAAAGGAAGGGGAAGCTTTGAAGAGAAGGTAGCGACCCTGGATGGCATTCAGCTGTCGTGTACAAGGTGGCAAGACAACAGAGCCGTCACCTTGCTGTCCACCTTTGTTGGGGCAGAGCCTGTCCTAACTGCGCCTAGGTGGAGCCAAAAAGAAAAGGAGAGGCGCGACATACCGTGTCCGTCGGTGATAGGCGCTTATAACAAGCCCATGGGAGGAGTGGATCTCTTAGACTCTCTGATCTCCATCTACCGCGCCCATCTCCGATCGAAGAAATGGTACTTTCGTATTTTTCTTCATATTCTCGACTTGACGGCTGTAAATGCCTGGCTGCTGTACAGGAGGAGTGCCGAGACTACTTCCGATCAACCAACACGAAAGCTCATGCCATTAGCAGAGTTCAAGGTGGACCTCGCCACGTCACTCTGCAAAGCAGGAAAAAATCAACTGAAGAAAAGGGGAAGGCCCAGCAATGAGTCCGTGGAGCAAGGCATCCAGCTGAAGAAGACAAGAGGTCCTTCAGCACCGTGTCCACCTCAAGATGTCAGGATTGATCAGGTATTATCACTGGCGAATTAATCTGTGTTACAAACCTCACTGTTCATACTTCTATGCTCAGGTTGGCCACTGGGTGCTTTGGAGTCAGAAGCGACAGCGTTGCAAGTTTCCTGGATGCAAGGGCATTTGTATGAGCTACTGCTCTAAGTGTGGCACTCACCTGTGCTCAACAAGCAAGAATAACTGCTTTCTTTTGTATCACACAAGCAAATGAGGCCACATCTCTCACTGATGTCTGTAAATACAAGTTTGGCTCTGGTTCACAAATTTTTAGCATTCGGCTATAAATATTTCGTTATTTCCATCTTGTTGCAAATATGCAACATACCTATCTTTTTTCGATATAAATTTTTCCGAAACTTTGAAATTTATTTTAGTGATAGTATTGTGATAACTGTGGTATTCTACTTCTGCTGGAATAAAATTGTGAAAAAATAAAAAGTTGTGCAGTAAAGGGTTAAGCCACTCGTCGACGCTTGCCGTCTGTGTTTTCTCCAAGACTTCAACACGTACAGCTGTTATTGGCCTCTTCGCCCAGCTGCCCGCCACGGCCCAGTACGTGCTGAGCGCCCCAGGCTCCGCCTGGGTGCGAAACGGGTGCGACGACAATGATGTCGAGGCCAATCCAGGTCCGGTTCGCACCCCGTTGAGCATGTCTGGGGTCGCTGCCGACTGTGGCTACTCAGACTGCTTTCCTCAGAATTTCCAGCAGCGGTCGTATGCACAATTTAATGCGGAGGAAGCGTGGTGTGCCAACATAAAAATAGCTTTTTTGTTGTTGTTAGTGTACTGCAGTGATTTTACCAGTTTAAATGTGGTTCTCAACAAATTCCGCTTTTTGTGTGAGTCCTTGCAACGAGACATTAGTTTTTATTTTTGCTAACATATCCATGTATGAATGTGTGCGTTCTACGCACTGATTATACTCATCAACTTAAAAAAGCTAGTTTTGCACATAATTCATGCGCTGTACGATGTAGTTCTGCCATATACAGCTGCTACAAAACAGAAAAACACAGTTCTTTTGCATCAGCACCTTCATTACACTGCTCAACAATAGCTTGCCATATTTTCCAAGGTCGATCTGGTAAGTCCTAGCACCAATACCAGACAAGCCATTGGTAATTCAAAAGGAGCCTAACAATGCCTTTCGGTTTGCGAGTTCGTGTGCATGCCATTCAGAGTGAAAAGCACTCCGACGAACCTTCCGTGATCTGTGGACCAGGTGTAACAAGGACTTCCATTCCGTTATGCCTACATTCACCATATTCTCGTTGTACTGATGGCATCTTCATATTCTAGTAGCTCTTTTTAAGCTGAGTGTCGTCATGCACTCCACAAAAAGAAGAGGTGCAGCAGATTAGTAACCATCCGAATGTTTAGCTACTTACCTACAGACTTATTTTTAATGTTGAAGCAGATTACAGTCATGCTGAGATGCTGGGACAAGAAGTTAACTGGACAAGCTCTCCGAGCACTTACTCTCAACGCTCTTGATACAACTCAACTTCTGATGCCATGCTTCAACATGCATAAACCCTGTCCTAGAAAAAGAAATCTCTAAGGTGCCAATTTCCCGCACAGCTGGATCCGAACCGCAGCAGAACACCCTTTAGTCCAGGGTACCGTCCTAGGTCATACCGTTACTGCTGTGGCCGAGGATCAGTTGTAACCATGGTGCCACCTGCTCAGCGACCATGGTGAGGGATACAAGGATTCAGCGTCTGGCTGCTCCTCTTCAAGTGTCATCGTTTTGCACGCCATGTTACACTGATGACAAGTTTCCATATCAAAGTCATATAAAGACCTGATTGTCTCCTTAGTTAGGAATGCCAAGAGTGCAGAAACTTGTTCCAGCTGGGGAGAAAGAGAGGAAGCAGCCAGCACTTGGTTGTATGGGCTTCTGCCTTTTGGCTGCCTCAGGCACTCGGCTGTGTGGAAGTTGTGCCATTAAACACCTTGAACCTTGAACCTTACTGCATATGAACAATTTATTGATTACAGTGTGACTGCTGGAGATAATTTTTGCTCACTAAACAAGGGAAACTGCTGTTCTTGCAGCTCCTGCCATGGAGCTAATCAAAACCCTCATGATCTTGAAGGACTTCGCAACTTGTCTTGTCGAGGAATTATGGTATGGAACTTCTGCCGATCTCTTAAGACCCCAGCTCTCAACAGAACTCTCTTTGCTTTCCGATGGGGGAGTAGACAGGGGCGGGGAGCCACTGCCGCCCTTGTTGCCTTCATAAAACTAACACGCCTGTTTAGCAGGAGGCTCCAGCGGTTCTGACATAAATATATAATCTTCAATTTGATGAACACACACAAAGCATCACAAAATGCTGGCAGAGCAGTTTTCAACAGATGAAGCCATGTAGAAACTCAACTTATTGGGCAAACTTCACCTCAGCATTACTGGACATACTGAAGGATGCGCTCTGGCACATAATGCGCGTGCCCACAGCTGCCTTCAGAGTGGTGCAACCAGTCCATGCCACATGCAAATCAGAAATTCAGAGCCCACATCTATTGTGCACATGCATGATGGAGTGGTGCATGTGAGCAGCTCACTAGCTATCTAGTAGTTTCAGTTATGGCACAGCTTGGGCTCGCCACGATGCGTGCTTTGTTTTGGAATGTGGCACTTTTTTCAATTTTTTTAACACTGACCAATCGAAGCTGTATGTTCTTGGTTGGGCTACTGTTATATTTATTTTGCTTCTTTTTTTTTGAGTTTGTGAATTTCAGTAGGTACAATTTTTTTTTATATTATTAAGGTTTAATGGTACTTTATAGTAAATTAGCTTCATGTAGAGCTGTAATTACAATATTTAATCAATGGTGTCCCCAAACTTAGAGGTTACCTGCATTTGCTAACTTCTAAAGTTGTGAAATAAACTATGATATACGGTAGTCAGCATTGAAATACAATAGGTTGCTCAAACTAATTAAATATTAAGAACGTTCCTAACATATTGTATACCAATTGGACGAATGCCCCCCGATATCCCCCGAATGTCTCCGATGTCGGAGGCCCCAATCTAAAAATTGGGGGCCTCCGATATCGAAGACATCTGATCTGTGGGAGAAGGGTCGGAGAAGGACGTTCCAGAGAAATCCTGGACGCACTTGAGGTAGCGTCGTACATCTACGCGAATTACGGTTCAGAACAGTTGTTGCTCGTGAGGCTGCTTTGTTCTTATCCGTTCGTGGTTGAGTCTCAGAGAGAGGACATTGAATAAGTTTTTAAGAACTCCCATGTTCTCTTTCAAATCTCTTCTCAAAAGGCAGTATGGCCTCATTCTCCGTGGAAAGGGGAATGCCGTCGAACTTAGAACAGTGGAGGGCCGAGATGCGGCCAGGCTTGACGATGACCCGTTTGCTACTGTCATGTGGGCTGTCCGGCACCGTCTGGTAGAGTCCACGCGTATTAGCACTCGGCGCTTTCCACTGACTCCCCTTTGCACCAACAATCTGACTGGCATCATAGACCTGCAAGGATCATGGGAAGATGATCTGTTTGCTAAGCGTGTCGAGGCACTTGAGGCAGAGCAGGACCCGCTCATCAGGGACCTGCTGGAGGCCAGAGCGGCTTGGGTTGCCGACCCGAGCCTCATTAACCCTATGGCCTTGTCCACCACTATAACTCGTGCCTTTGGCACTCACAGAGTGCGTCGTGTCTTTCCGGATCTACCAGACCCAGTCCTGGCCGATATCTCGGTTGACGACTTCTTTGCTGGCAAACGCGGGTCCGTGACGCTGCCAGACATTGGGGAGGCCAAGGAAGGTCTTCGCGCGACCTTGTCGGCAGTGGCCACGCAGCGGGGTCTGGCCGTGACGTGGAAGGGAGATCAACTTGAGGTGGTCGGGACCTTCGACTTGTTTAAATGTATCAACGGTCCCACCGTTGACATACCAGACTTCCCGGCCGAGTGGGTACAGCAGACTCGACATCATAGCGAGACTGTCGGAGTCTCGCGGTCGAGAGGAGCCCTAAGCCGCCGCCGCGGGCCCCATTCGTTTGGGACCCGTTGCTCCGGCTGGTGCAGACGGCGGGGAAACATCAGGAGGGGGGCTGCCCGATCCTGCCCTTGTCGTTCAATGTCAGGGATCTTGTCGCCAAAGATCACAACTCGCTCTCTCCGGCGGAGAGCCTCAGATTCCGAGGAGGCGAAGACGGTGAGGCCGCCTGGCTGGCTCTCCCGAAGAGCAGAAGGAGAAGTTTTCAAAGGCGTTTCCGATGGGCTATTCCCGGACGGCTGAGGAGGTGGCCCTAGCTGCCATGGCCTGCCTTAAGCGGATCGGGGGCAATATCATACCCCCCGATCTCCTCGTGCCTGTCACTCCTGGCCCAGCGGGGTGCTTGGTCCCTTCGTATGTCGGTGTGGACCAAGAGGGTCGGCGGATAGTCGGCCGGACACCGGGATGGGGTTGGGGGCGATGGCGCAGCCGCGCCGGTGTCTAGGTGAACGAAGGAAGTCGGGCCCAAGGTAGCCATACGTGGTGCGCGTCGGGCTGTCCGGGGGGCCTTGCTGAGAGGGGGTTCGCGGCTAGGTCAACGAACGCGGTGGCCTTCGTTGACCTAGCCAGAGGGGAGACTAACCGTCACGTGCCCGGGGCGTCCCCGGCCGTAGCACCCGCCGTTCATATAAAGCTAACGCTGCCTGGTCGGAGTTCGGGTGTGAAAGCCGGTGGCGCTTCGGCCGCATTCGGAGCCCCCCTATGTCCTTATCCATGGATGCGACCTCACGCCTTCAAAACTGAAAACCGGACATGATCTCAAGTTTCAAGTTAAGAACTTCCATTCATCCTACCCCTAAGGCTAGTCTATATAGAGCTATGACTTTCATCGCTATGGGCAGGAGCCAGCTGAGTTTGTATTGCTTGGAAGGTGGAGGGGTGATGTGCTAGGGAGCTAAACCCCGTCCCTGTCTCCCATATTGTCTGCTATAATAGTTTAAAATGTCAGTCAGAGAGAAGCGGCAGGGCGAGGCAATTGCCCCCCTTGCCTTGCCCTCTTCTTCCGATGCCACTAATAGGGTATGCAAACTTGGGGATTCCCTGCCATAAATAAATGCAACCCCTTATGGCTGCCACTGCATACAAAGGAAAAAAAGAGAGATGTGGTTCATTTTTCTCTTAGATGTTCATATCAGAGGGGATACAAACAGTCGTGGGTAGTTGCGGCTGAGTGAGCCAGCAGTGAGTGCTGCCTAAGTGTTCGATTCGGACTCTCGTTTAATCGGCAAGAAAACAAGTACCAGACAACTATTGGAACGTATCCTGTGAATGGCTCCTGGGATTTTCGCAAATGGTCTCTTGTCTTACAAATGAATGCACTCCTATTAACTAAGGGCACTTAGCGAGCTATATATCCGAGGGTAAAAGACTAAAAACAATGGAAAAGTAACAGAAACCAACAACACTTCTACTTGTTCATTGTTTTTAGCGCTTTTTCCCTCGGAAATATGGATCACCAACTAGCCCAAGTGCATACCCTTCTACACTTAGTGAGTTGCTTCCTCCCTTCTCATACTGCTGAGTCTACATTTAAGCATTCATTCTTCACAGGAGGACCGACACGACAGATTGACCTATCCGGTGATGCGAATTGACAAAGAGGACTCAAAGGCCATAACTGCGGTGTTGGAGAACCACTTATTTGAGGTGACGGACGGATTGGGCACTTCATTGATTTGAAGTACGATATAAAGTCTGCCTTGGCTTTGGATCTCATCACAAAGTAAGAAACTTGTTCACCAGAGGGAATATGTGTGCCATTTTTGCCTTTTTTTCCCATGTCCTAACATTAAAGTGTTGGCTTATTGAGCTCTATTCTACTTTTTTTATCCTTTCTATGCTGACTTTTCATGAAAACCTATGGCCTCCGAACAGGCTCATGCTCCCTCTTTTATGTCCTTTTTCAGCTGCACTTCCACATTTCCAATGCAACCCTCCCCTTGTGAACATATACATAGCTGCTTTTAGATTTTAGGGCTACTGTTCATTGCAAAGTGCTTGAGTTGTCTCAAGTTGTATGTAGCAGCTCCCATAATAAGGACAGAAGTACTATTCCACATTACAGAGAAATCAAGGGAGGTATTGAAATTTGATACAACAGCTGCAAAAATAAAAGTACAGTGGTCGCACTTCAACAGGCTAAAAATGCCACTTGCCAGTAGAGTTTTTTTTGTTTCAGCAAACGTTTGACTAACAAGGAGCCAATTGTACACTTCCCTTCCCCTAATTCTGTTAGCAGGCATTTACGTTACTTTTTACTGGGTGATTTTACACTCAGCACATAACACTATACTTGAGCAGAGTTCGTGTGAACCCTTCCTGGAAAGTGTGCTTAACTGTTTAATACTGAGTTTAGGCAACACTTCCAAATGGGGTTGTACTTACTCTACAAAATTCTTTAGTGCGAGTAATTAAATCCCCACTTCAAGTGTTGCCTAACTCTGTATGAAAGAGTAAAGCAGTCTCCAGGAAGGGATCATATAAACTGCTGTTTGCTGTTATGTAATATTAATTCTTGCTATAGAGCACACTAAACTTTTTAATACGGAGTGCAGGCACCACTTCTAAGGTTACAATAACTCTTCCTGGAGAGCGTGCTTAACTCTTTAGTACAGAGTTCAGGCAACACTTTTTCTTACATACGACAGACTGGTTGTCGCTTAAACAATTGTATTTAGGAGCAAAAAAGGGCAGTTAAAATAATGCACCAAACTCTGAAATTCAAAACCTGTAGACAGTCCTGACTCTTGCAAAACCATTTGTGTGACTATAGAAAAGTTAAGTGAGCACTCGTATGGGAGAGTAAAACATACACTAGTCGTGGAAAGGTAACGATTACCTATCCCTAGCAGGGATAGGCGGTATTTCAAATACAAGTAATTGAAATATGTATTTCAAATACTTTGTGTATTTTGAATTTCTATTTAATTACAAATTGGGTAATGCATTTGACGTGTGTATTTAAATACTAAAAGGTGGGTATTTCAAATACAATTGTAATTAAATACAATTTTGTGGGCGAAAATACATCCCTCAAATTTATTGGCACTGTCCAGAGCAGAAAGAAAACTACGTTCTGCACCGAATGCAGTGTCTCTTAATCAAGCACAAGCGTTTAGTGACTTTGTGATTACGGTGCTAGTCCAGGGCAAGAATAGTGATGAAATCGACGTTCACAGGCAGACTGGCTAAATAAGCGCCTGTGACAACTTGTGATGCTTTGCAGCCTGATTTCCATCCATAATTTTGCCTGGAACATTCTAAATGCGTGTGTCGTCCAGATTTTCGTTAACTGGTGCGAGTTGCAACAATAAAAAATTCTTTAGCTAGTGCTCCGTGTCTTGGTCGTCTCAGTTCTTTGTTGGTCTATACCAACATGTAATCGACAAAAAAACCTGCTTGAGGCTCTGTACTTTTTCACCTATTACGTCCAAGCTGATTACATTTTTTGTGATTATATTTCTATTACGTTACTAGAGCCTCGCAAACTTACTCCAGAGTGTGCGTAGAGATAGGTAGAAACCCGTTGCAGGTGCCCTGAAGTCGCTCTCGCAAATTTTGAGGAATGTATTTAGAAAAGTATTTGGAAGAGAACAAATACATTTGGTTGTATTTGTATGTTGTATTTAAATGCTTTTTGTAGCGTGAGCTACACTGGCCGAAATTGAGCAGTTTCGCGTGGCTGGCATAATGAGCCATGCTCCGTGCTGCGCAAGTGCGAGGAGCAGTGACGTCGCACGGCGCACAGCTGGCGGGGCGGAGGCCAAGTCGCCGCGGGCTCCGCCGCCACCGCGCTCGCCTCGCCAGTCTTCGCATTCCAGAGGAGTGACGTCACAGCCACGGCAGACGCACTGGCGGCGCCGCGTGCCCAGCTATGTGCCTCCGTTGCGCAGTAGCCAAGTCTGACGCTGCACCGGAGCTGCTTGATAGCACCTCTCATTTTATGCGCCTAAGCTCACGCTACGTATATCCTGGCATAGCCGAGCTAAGCCACCGCAATTTTTTTAAATGTAATTAGACTCGTAATTAAATACATTTTTGACGAAGTATTTTTGTATTTGTATTTTGATACATATTTGCATGTATTTTTCATATCCCTGGTCCCTAGAGAGAGTATAGCTTGCGATAACCCGGATTCTCTCCAAAAAGAGTACAGTCAACACCCGTCCATTCCTTTTTTAATTATTTTTTTAAGAGTGTAGAGTTAACATAATAATCCGAAACGAAAGGTCCCCTGCGTTTGGCCGCTTCGAAATGGCGGAACATAGAAGCGGAGATCGGCGGTCCCAGTTCGCGATTTCGATGAGCCCTATCGCTGCCGAAGCCTTTATATGCACCAAGATGCAGCCAAACATCACCAGTAAAGTCTGTACCTTGTTATTTTCTGTCTTTGCAGAAGAACACAGGAGTCGCGCAGTGATAAATTTAAATAAACCTGACAAGTGCTCGAGCAACTTCAACTTGTCGCGGCAAAACGAACACGCCTAACTTTTTGTTTGCTTTATTTCTCTGCCTTTTTTCGCTCTTTCTCTCGGGACTGGAGATGTTAGCGCCCAGGACTTGCCGTGTTCTACTCCTGTCTTTACCCGCCTGGTTGAGGTTGTGCCGGCGTGTCCGTTGGGAGCCATTCATAATGTCGGCAAACCGATTGCTCGAGCGTTGCCTTGTCCTGGTTCCTAATGATTTCCGGAATTCTAGAAAAACCAATATTGCTGGCCGTGGCTCCGTTGACACCAAGTTTTACGGCTAAAACAATCACAGAGCAACTGACTGTCTTCAACCTCGAGTGGGTGCACAAAGTACCATGCAGACAAGGCCCCAAAGGACACAAAACATAGGATAACAGCAATGAATGCCTCCAACATGGATTCCAGTGGGTTTTCATCAGATCCACGAAGAGGTAGCAGCATTGAACCATGGTATTGTGCAACAACCCTATACTGGTAACAAGTTACTGCTCCGTTCTAATTTACAACCGTCTTTGACACTTTCAATCCAATCCGAGATCCAATCCGCGGTCACTACGTGCGTGTCGCCAGCATTGCTCGCCTTGGTTGCTCTGGTTTCTCACTTTCGCTTGTTCCTTCGATAGCTTCTTGCCAACCAGTCGTTCCACTACCACCTAGAGGTTGAGAAAACTAATTCGTAGTGTTCACAATGATCTACGGGTACATAAAGTACATGAAAGGCGGGAAACGGGCCATTTTGCCATTTTCTCTCATCCTAAGGTTCGCGCCGAAGTCGACCGAGGACCTCACTCCTACTTTTGTGAAAGCATACTAGTAAAAGCTAAGTGAAGAAAAGGAAGGCTAATAAGATGCCAATGTGATCCAACCTGGCAGTAAGTATAGGGTGACTGAAATAACCAGGCTCGATCTAAAATGGGCCATAAAAATTGGCGCCTGCACATAGCAATCTGAACTTTGTGTCAAAGGTATATTTCACAGGTTGGTTTTTGTAAAATTACAAAGCGTAGCTCCCTTTCTGCAAAACATAGGGCTAAAAAACTTGCAAGGGTCAACAACGGATGGCGACGTAAACGACCAAGTCGAGCGGCGAGGCGCGTTTGGCGTCCGGTTTTCCGCAGCTCGCCAAGGCCTGGCTTCAAGACGCGCCCGCCGCAGCTCGCAAGACTCCCTGACGACTACAAGATCATCATCCGTGCACGTGGTGGCCTCAACCTAAGCTCGATGAGCACAGGCAAGCTGCAAGACTTCGTCTTTAACACTGCCCAGACCAATTACAACGTGGCACGCGATGATAAAATTCGAATCAATGCCATTCAAAACTATACTACTCAGCACCCCCTCTGAAGGGCGAAGAGAACTATTTTCTGGCCACATATATGGCAAATCCTGCGAAGATCTCACGCGGAATCATCTTTAATGTGCCAGATTACGGTCCACCGGAGAACATCAGCCAATACCTAATCGACTGCAATCACGACCCGGCTATTCTCCTTGCCCGTCGGATGTCTCTCATCACTGCCCCTCTCTACGGCAAAAGGTCCAAACCCTACGGCAAAAGGTCCAAACTCTACGGCAAAAGGTCCAAACCCTCACACAATAAATCACTGCCGTTTAGAAGGAAAATGCAGACTTACGACCCCTCCTTAAACAGAAAGGTTACCCCTCCAGCGCCAACTCCTACTCCTCCCCCACAACCCGTTGCAGTTGCCATATCCTCACCTGACAGCACCGCCCAGTCTGTCAAGCGTAGAGTAATCAATACTATGGCCTCAAAATCGTAGACAAATTACACCGACCGAAATGTCTCGCATTTTCAGTGCCAGACTGCAAACCTTAGAGCAAAACGTTACAGCCGTTGTACGGCGATAGAAAACGCTGTCTCAAAGTACTTTTCCAGATTGGCCCAACTCACCAGTCAAATAAACCAACTCACCAACATCTCATCCCAGTTGGGGTCCTAAACTCCTCCACCACCCCCACCATCCATACCCTACCTCTAACAGTGCATCCCTCAATATGGCTTTACCTCTCCCACGCCCGCCACGCCTCAGTAGGCACCAAACCACTATCTGGCAATGGAATTACCACAGCTTCCGACTGAAGCATGGCTATCTTTAACACTGCCTCCAGTCTTTCCAAACTCCCCCCGATATCATAGTGATTCAGAAAACCCGCCGCGCGGTCAAACTAGCCGTCTATAGAGCCTTCCAAACTCCTGACAACGAGGAACCCAATACCGCCATCCTCACTCGTA